AAAGAAAGCAATTTAATATTCATCGAGTAATAATTTACCTACCTCTCTCGTGCAAGATTCCATTTTTGCTTTAAACTTTAATATTATATATTATTGACATTTAATCAATTCTGTTTACTGTTCATTATCATTTATCGCGAATATTAAGTCATACAAAAAGTTAGATGATAAATTTTTTTACTTAATTTCTTCAGTCAGGCAAACCAGCAGTTGCACACAATCGTCGCAACTACTTAGAAAACGATGAACGGATCAAGGTTAACAAAAAAAGTTGAATCGAATCTTAACTTAGCAAACTTGGGCAGAGTTTGAATCACAACTTTGCGGAGACAATCGAATTAAATTTGGCAATGCAAAATGTCACATAACAGAAGAAGGCTAAGAATATATGTAAAAACGATATTATCTCATAAAGAAAAAGGGATCAAAGTATATTTTTATTTGTTATAATTACAGATAAGATAATGTCAGTTTTTCTAGAACACAACTTAAGCTAAGGAAAATAAATTGTTAGGCTTAATTCCATCAATTCCATTAAAGATAATTCGATAATGTTCTCGCAGCACGTAATAAGTACAGTAAGTTCATCTGCAAATTAACGTTAATCCGGTAAATTAATAGAATGAAAGAAAAAAAGAAAGCGAAAGACAAACAAACAGAAAAAGAGAGCACACGAAACAAAATGATATTGTATTAACAGCATTATTTTAATTAAGAATGATCTTGTTAATTTTATAACAACATTGATATAAAATAAATAGAATTTTATTAAAACAAGAGCATAACACACATACATATTTGCTTCATTAAAGGCTTTTACATACAAAATGACACAAGCAAAATGACATAATCATAGCATAAAGCCATTGGACCAATGAACATCTTATGTAAATCGATATGACCTTTTTATATCGAATGCTTATTAGTCCAGCGACTTTATGCTATGAATATGCAACTTATGTTATTTGGTGTGTGATAATAGTGATAATAATATTAAATTAACTAAATTATTTTTAATTAAAATAATGCTATTAATATATAATGTTATATTTCTCAATGTATGAATGAGATTAAATACTTACTCTCTGATTTGATTGATTTAACGTAATAACTTAAATAAGATACATCGTTAATCAAAGCAAATAAATTTTATTTAGGTGTGTGTTCCAACTCCGAATCAGAATAATTACTAAAACAAAATAAATATTAGAATTATTTTGATTGACGCGTATAAACCGACATAGACAAAGCATACCGAAATATCGAATGACGCAAGTATTTCATGATTGATTTCAGTGAATTTGTCTTCACTCCGCAACAGGTCCATATAATATCGCAAATGTTTTTACTTGTTGCACCATCCTTTTTATAACCGCAATTATAATTGTTATCTTATGTATGAGATTTAAATGAACTTTAAGACTGAAGTTACTGTTCCGCAATTTAAAACTAATAAAGAATATTTTACTCTTTTGAAACAATCGGAAAACCGTGATTATATACATATAATTATAATTTACTTTTTTCAATTGACACTCTTTTAAATATAAAGTACTATAAAGTGCAAAAGTTGATCAAATTTGTAATCAGATGTATAATAATTTAATACTGACTTGCGGTTTAAAATTCAATCATGAAGAGAAACTTTTCAATATCACAAAGTTAATTTACATATATTTTTCAAACTAAACAAAAAGAATTTTCCGATATTCTATAGTAATCAATATTGTTGAAGAATACATGCATCGAAAAGTATATTAACTTTGTACAAATCGAGACGAATTGAGTTATGAATGCGGATCGTTAGTAGCGTTCAACAGCATAAAGAAGCAGAACTTACATATTCTTTTCGAAATTATGTTAAACTTTGGTAACTACGCGGATTAAGATGAATAAAAGATGAAAGCTATCGGAAGGTTAGATAAAATTCCTCCTGAAAAAGAAAACTATTTGAAGCAGAACATTCTTGTTATCTATAAGTCGTTATCTTTTACGATGACCGATCCGTATGAATTATTAGGACAACGAAACGAAACAGGAAGATTACAGATGAATTGATAAAACAATAGTTTTTTATTACATGCAAAAATAGACTAGAGTTTCAAAGTCTTCCAGAGAAAGTTATTGATTGTTATTCAATACCCTTAAGTAATCTCCTTAACGGATTACGAAAAGTAAGATTTTCTAAACATATTTGTTAATATGTATTAAACATGTATGTACATTAATATATTATATTAATATAAAAAAAATAATCATCAGAACAATTTGTTTTATAATTCACTATCTATTTACGTGAACATCATTTATTAATTTATTCAGACACAAATCTTTTATTCTATAGCATAGAATTACAGAAGACGCGTTCTGAAATTAATGGAGCAATTCATATTCCGTAGGATTTCCAAGGGCCGTAAATGTAAAGGGTAGATAATGCAAAAATATATATATATATCGTATAGATCTAGAGACAAGTATATTTACGTGCTACAATCCATACTATTTTATTTTGAAATGTTGAAAAGTTAGCAACAAACGTGATTGTAACTTTTGAAAATTTAAATAGATAAATCTCACTTTATCTCGTTTCTTTCGATATCGAATCTTGTCTCCCATTGCCATAGATATATGCTACTTGATGCAATTTTTGTCGCGATGTTGCAATGTCACGCGTCAATACAAGATTTACCATCAACGATGAACTATTCACATTTTAAAATATTACCAAAAATAATAAAAATGTCATAGATTGTTTCGTCATTACGTTTAAATATCTATATAAAATTTGAACACATAATTCTCCTATTGGTTTAAAAGTTTTTTATTTTGTTTTTGTTAATCTTAATTTTCATATAAAATTGCGTTTTGTAATACATATTTGTAAATTTAATGAGAAAGTACAAAAATTAAATTAAATTTTAAACATATTGCTTCACAATAATTCGTATACAAAGTTTAACTGGATCTACCTGTGCATGTGTGTTCTTTTAAAAGTTATTGACCTAAAACCATTAATTGAAATTGATAGAAAAATATAGTCATTTTGTAGCATAAAACCATTATTTGTTATCAAATTATTTGTTGTTTTGTTTTACAGTTGATTTCAAATTATATGTACGGATCAATAGTTAATGTCATCAAAAATTTTTGAATAATATTGGCTGACATTAATTTATTTTGGCTGATTGTTAAGTTAAGTTTAGCTGTTTTCAACAGAAAAAGCAGTTTTGTAACTGTTGTAAAAATTCGTACATTTAAATTCATTGAGGGATTGAGATTAACACTAATTATATTATTATAAAAAATTTTATAACACTTTCGAAACTGCTTTTTCTGCTAAAAACAAGCAGCTAAAATATTCTTAAACTTGTGCGAGTAATGCGCGGTTCGGGGTAACTCGAAATTTTCAATTAACTATTCGTATGAGATTTGCAAATAGCGTGTATGGACATATTCGAGTTCGCATTCATCGTTTACCATTCATACCAATTTGTTAGAGAGTGGAGTGATTTCCTTTGACAAACTCAAAAGACATGAGTTACCATAAATCGTGCAGTCTAACGCAAAACTTTACTGTATTAATACCGCACCTGGTTATTTCATCAGGATTTACTCGCCTTTTAATCAGATACTTTATCACGTCCTTCAGTCGACATGCGCATTTTATGTGAAACACACAAAAAAATTTTTTTAACGAGATATCTAAACAAATGTACTTATACGTGTCACAAAGAATAACTCCATTTAAGCAAAACGTTTTCAAAAAGCTTTCTATTTTAATTTTAATATGTATTATAGGATTATTAAATTACGTCGATTTATCGAATTTTTAATGGAAAGAAACAATCACAAACGAACAAAATGTTGAACTAAATCTCTTTTAAAACCGTAATGTGAATAACAAATAGGAAAGAAAGACCTTATAAACGGTCAAGCTGGATTTTTAGTGCTTAAATAATTTGATGTGAATTTACATATTACATATCAAATCTTACAAAAGTTTTGAAAATTTCTTTGCTCGTCACACGTTGAATGTGTGTGTGTACAATAACTTATTATAATTAATTAATTTACATAATAATTTATGTTACATAGCATGATCATTTTAATGCAGATTATAAAATGATAGAATAATTGCATCACAATTTCAACCGAGTAAAAAATCTTGGAAGTTTACTTCGCTTATATCGTACGTATGTATGTAGTACAATAATAATACTGTATGTTTGATATCCGTCAGTATCATATGATACTTTATACTTGCTATCTATTAATTTATGATGCTTGCATTCTGTATCTTATACATATATGCAATATCATCATCAACACTATGACCTTGATAAATTCTATTCAAAGTAATAGAAAAATTTTAAATATTACTCAGAAGACTTTATGACTTTTAAATGTCTTTTAAATATCTTCCGGATATTTTTTACACTTTTCCATTGGAATCTTATGATACTTAATCTCGACTTTTCTTCATCATTAAGATTTGATGTTGTTATACATTAAAAACCGTATTGGAGATATGAAATGGAATTGATTTCTAAATAAAATAAATATTTTTTTTTTTAATTGAGAGAAATAATAGTATTTTTTATAACATGGGTTGAAGTATGGAAAAATATCCTTGCTTGTCGCCGCGTACTGTTGGATAACAACGGAACAAATTATAAATAAACTTCTATAAACAATATTTTACATTCGTTTACTTTAGATATTTTATTTATTATTATTAACAGGATATAATCATCATATAATAAATGATGTAATTAATCATTATCCTTTAAATATATTGTAAAACAATCACATGTGCGAAACTAGCGAATACAAAGTAAATAACTGCAGATCAGTTTTTTCAATGAAAATATTTTTCATTTATGCATGTTATTTCTCTCGTTTTGAGAGAAATAACATATATCTTGTTACTCGTGGCGCGCAGAGAGTTATACGAGAGCGCCTCGTATGAGCGCGGGTGAAGCGCTATTCGAAGGTCTTACCTTCTACAGTTGTGAGCTCCGAGGGATTCGGTAGACCCAGGGCTGGCTGATCGAGGATAATCCAAGAGGAGACCAAGACGACGCAGAGCAGCCGCACAGCGGTGGTACTGCACCAGGGGTTGGTCCCCGACGTCCGATACGTCGGGTACGTCGGCGACGGGCAGGTTGTCGCGGCGACGCTCATCTCTACGACTGCTGGCCCCCCTCCGCGGGTCCACGCGGCACACCTGCGGCCTATGCACGGCACGCACGCACGCACCCGTACGTCGCGTACCTGCACGCCCACGCAGGTCAACCCTGCCTGGCCTACTTCCGGTATCACATCTCCGACCGATCGCGGAGGTGCGCGCGATCGATGACGCGCATAGTCGCCACCGCGGAACTCGAAGCCGTAGCTTTCTATCTCTCTCTCTCTCTTTCTTCCGTCCGCGTGGATCCCCCCCGCGCCCTTAGCGCGATCCAGCGGTTCCCAGCGTCGTCGACGTCGTTCACCGCGTCACGCCGCCGCGTCTGGCGCGTCCAGACTCCCTCGCTTGATCGCGAAGGGTTGGCGCGTGCGATTCCAAATCGAACGACGGAGGCGCAGTCCGGACGATGGCGAGATGGTGGGACCGACGATCGTGCGCTCGCGCCGTCGTGTACGTACACTGTGCGATTGTGCCGTAGCGGGAAGGCACGGGCACCAAGCAACGACCGGCCTGACTCACCCCAACGAGGATCGTCGCGACGCCAAGGCGCCGGCGTTCTGCGCAATACGGCTGAGCCACGTTTCCACCCCCTTGACCGCCGGTGTAACGTGGCACGGTGTGTGATGTGGTATGGTGTGTTGTGGTGACGGTGTCACTCTCCATCCCCTTGAGACCACCCGCCACCGTCGTATAGACAGCGACGGAGTACAGTGTCTCTGAGTCATTCCTCGGACAAGACTCGTCGGTGTACCGCCACTTAGCGATCAGAACGTAAAGCGACACCGTCGTCGTCGTCGTCGTCAATGTGTTGTACGTGTGCTGGTAATGACGCAGCGCATGGGACACCCCACGCTGCATCCCCACTTCTAAGGAACGCACAGTCGCGCAACTTTAGCAAAACCGCGGTGATATATGATATATCAGGGGTAAACGATTTCGCTACGCTACACAAATATCAATATCTTGGGGAATCTGGAAAGTATAGATCTTCATTTTTCACACAATAATGCGGATTCTTGATTGATCTCTTACTTAAATAAGATGGAATGAGATGACAGCTTGCGATATTCACATAAACTGAGAAAATTTTATCATATACTCGAACTTTCAATGCTTTACATTCTCAGATATCTACCATAAATTTACTCAAATGGATTTCTTTAATAAAAGAAATATATTACATATATGTATAATTAAAAGTGTAATAAATCATAGCCTTCTTTCAATTGACTTCGTAAATGAAGTACATGATTTGTAAAAATTAAGTTTCATCTTTTATTTCAAAATGTTTCGTGTATTATTAAGTCAATTTATCAGTAATTTATTAGCATTGTACATTATAACGTACATTAACAATTTTTATGTATATTATTATTATATATATGATAGTAACATTTTTTAATAAAAGAGCTAAATTTATTAACTTTTTTCAAAATATTTTTTTTATCGGAAATCGTTTTGATTCTTGGCAATTAAAATTAATAAAAATAATAAGTTATACTGAGACAATTATTTCTACTCTTGAATGCTTTCTAGATGTTTCTATAGCCACGAAACAAAATTCTTATAACTAATAATAATAATGAGATTTTATTATCATTATTAATAATGATAAGAAATTCTTCTTCTTATTATTATTAATTATAATGAGTGATGAAAATTATATTGTAACATTTCTTGAATTATCTTTTTTATGTTTCTTTTGCACTTATAAATTATTAATAATTTTCTTTGAGGCGTATATTTTCTTTCTCGATACTTCATCTGTTATTACGGACATCATTCCAGACTTTATACATTATAGGTATATGGATGACGCATACGAATATTTCCGTGAAAACTCTGGATCTAACCGTGCGATCATAATTTCACTTCTTGATCGATGGCTTGCTACATTATGACGTCAGCTAAACTTTGCCATACCCACAGCTTACCGCGCAAACATGAAACGAGTGCCAATTAAGATTAATTTTATGAATAGCACGGAAAAATTATGTGATTACAAGACGTAAATAAAATATATCGCACGTTAACATCAATAAAAAATCTGTAATATTAAAATAAATGAATATGTTATATAATATATAAATATATTAAATATATAATGTTATACAATGTCAAAAGTTTATAGTGCAAAACATTACTTCCTGTTGATGTATTCGAAAACTGTGTCCAAAACAGTATTGTAGTTGCCAAAAATCATATTTTATGTTGCAGAATGCTAATATATATGAGAATAATCCATATTTTGCAGACGTTATAATTTATAGGCAATTATATATTTAATGTTGCAGATTGCACATGCCGCGATGTATTAGACTTAATACAAAAGAACGATCATAAATTACAGAGATGCACATAAATTGTCAACAGATATCTTTATAATTCATGTAGGTGGATTTAATGGACGAGACAGAGCGGTATCATACTAACTAGTTTATCAAGAATCGTGCACACATGTCGATCAATTTCAGGTGATAATTATCGGCGCCCTGACTAGTTACATGCGGGACACGGACGCCGTAATTATATTCCAACTAATGTAATGTAATGCTGCGTCAGCAGGTCGCCTTTGATATTTCTCAAAATGCTTTTGTATCATTGCAATAAATATTACAAACCAAATTTCTTACTATTACATACATATTTATGTATACATTTTTTCATTATCGACTTTCTTTGATACATATGATTTATATTATTATTGCATGGACTTACGCAATCTATTATATGCATGTTAGTTTTATCTTATTATATTTATTAAGTAATTTTAATATTAATTAATTTTTGTTTTGCTTTTCTGATAACTGCAGTGATTAATGTTATGAACGAAAATATAATTTATTTTTCAGTTTATTATCATTCAATTTTTCATTCTGGATATATACGTAATTAAAACGTCGCTTCCTTTTTATCCGTCCATTTATAACATCCATCTAACATACCCTAATAATAACCTCATTGATTATGTGATATACTTAACTCTTTCCTCGCAAAAAAGCAACGCACATATTTCTAACATCTCTCTTCTTCAAAATATTAAACTATAGGCTTATAAACTCGATAATTAGTTATTCAAATTATTACAATGTATAGTCAGTACAATAGTAGCTTATATAATTTGTTATTCTGCGACTATTAATCATTACAGTAAAAAATAAGAAGGGAAAAGAGTACACGTAATGAGTGGACATTCATGTCAACATCTTGATGTCTATTAAGAGAAATATAACGACGATGCGGGATCAATTTCCTGGGTCGATCGCTTCGAGCAGAGCCAAAGGCAAGAGCAAGAAAAAAGGCGTCTTAGACTTGTCAGGTTTGTAATACCAATGTGGCCCACTTTTACCCGACAAGCAAAGTCTTATGTAACGCGTTCCTCGATCCTTTTGCTCGTGTAAAAGCGTTCTAAGATCCATTAATGGGATGAAGAAATAGCAGAATCTTCGCCAAGAAGCAGCAAGATGTGCAGTGATCTACTGAACTTTACTTACATGTCCCTCCAATACGATGTGCAACAACGAGTTTTAAAAATAATCTATCAAGTCAACAATCAAATATATTTTATCGTAATAACAACGTCAACGTTCCATATTATTTTTCTATGAAGTTATTACAAGATGATTGAATTCGATTATACTTATTAAAAATTGTAATTTGCATTACATTTGCATTCATACAACGGGTAAATCAAACAAATAAAGCAAAAGGTAAAACAACCTAGTTTTCAGTTACACCTTATCAGTATAATCACACAAACACACTTTAGATAATACAGCGTTTTTAATTAAAAAAAGCTTACATATATATATATATATAATTACATATATATAATTTCAACTTTACAGATATATATCAAATAAAGTTATTTTATCATGAGCGCTGAATGATATTTAAATGAATTATTTTACTCTTGACTCGAATTTGTGTGAATAACAAAGTGTTTTTATTGCGTATATAAAGCTACGAAACATCGTTTATTTCCTTTTTCATCGATATACCCAACTATGTACATGTTTGGCCAACCGACTCGAGTAACCTTCCTTAATAGCATTTCGAAGCAAAACGAGTTCCTCTAGAACGCTACAGAAATAATAATTCACATTTGATCGACTGATGATTATTACGAAAACATCGAGAATTTCTTTCATACATTTGCGACTCCTCTATTATTTTATTAGGATACGAATAAATCAATAGTAGGCAAAAAAAGAAATTAATAAAAATAAAAAAGTATGATTAACGTATGCGATTAACGTATCTGTTTCGATGATCTTTTATTATTTAAAACGCTTGGCATTTCTGCGATGATACAAAAATATAAGATTTATATAAAATATATATGTCGCATGTATCAAAATATGCAACTTTTATATGAATAAAATTTAAAAACTTTTGTGTAAAGATGGAATATATCCTTTGGCGAAAGCACTTTGTCGACGAGTGAGATTCAAACAGTATGCTGACGAATTATTGTGCCACTTGTGACACAAGGTCGGACCAGAATGTTGCATAGTCCTTTAGTACAGTTCCACTGAAACATCATATTATTAAAATAAATTATTAAAATACTTTTAAACATAAATAGTTACTAAAACGTAAGTAAATTAAATACCACTAATTTTCTGCAACAGTATTCTCATATAAACTATCTTTTGATTTCAAATACAGCAAATCGAAAAGCACACACAATCAATTTAAATTATTTTCACATACATTTTAAAAAATATTATAATTCTACACAAAATATAAACTAACATCATACGTTTGATCTTTTTTAAGTAATAAATTCTTTGATTGACGTTTCTCTAAAAGAGGAAACAAGAGAAAAAAATTATATTTTACATTGTAATATTCTAAAAATATTATAAAACAACTTTAAACTCTTCTCTCTCTCTCTCTCTCTCTTGTAATTATATTTTGAAATTCACAGAAAAGCCTTCTGATTTAATTTTATCTTATAATACAATAATTATATATACTTTCAATTTTCAGTCTTCTGTGCTGTTAATTATAAAATTAAAATTATTTAAGAATTCCTAAAAATCGGGAAATTCTAATTTACCTTTTTTTTTTGTTTGATGATACTGTAAAATTTATACAAAAATGTTTCGTAAAATTTGACGACACAGCAATTTATAACAATAAACATTTCATAGTGTTATATTTATTCTTGACGTACACATACAATAAATCGTTCAAGCTGAGAGACCGACAACTTGCGATCAAACTTGCTATTGTAAAATGATGCTAAAAAATTTACTAAATTATTAACAAATTTCACGTATGCGTGGAATTACGAATAATAAATAATATGACCGAATAATAAAAGCA